TCAGTTATTCCCAGCTCAGGACCACTGTGAATAGTGCTATTGTTTTTCTTATGCACAACATCGAGGGGTTACTTTGCAGTGTCATAGGCTATGCGTGTTTTAGCTGTAAGAATCATTGTCAAGCAACTTTCCAAAGTTCTACCCATTGAGCACTCTGCCAGCAATGGATAGGGGTTCTACTCACTCAAAATTCTTGCCCATATGAAGCAATACAGGCAATACTGTCTGTATCTTTCAACAGGTCTATTTAACTACAACCATGCGCAAAAGACTTTCTAGGCACATCATTCCAATTTTAATTGAGATTTTCTTGATGAATGATAATATCTGGTCATTTTTCACATGCTTATTCTTTATGTGGATGTTTTGCATTGTGAAATTCCTGGTTAAGTTGCTGCTCTTTTTTCCATTGATTTTTCTGTCTTGAAAATTATTTGTAGGATTTATGTATATATTCTGGACACAAGGCAGCTCTTTGATGCTTTCATACCATTAAAAAACTGTATTTATATTTTATCTGTATTTTTGTGTGGACTTGATACGGCTAGCTGATCTCTTATAACTATACATAGAAGTCCACAAAGAGCATTGTTTGTTCTCTAATCCTTCACATCTATTCAATGACTTATGTCCAGCCCATGTATCTCTAAGGTTTTCCCTTCTCTCTTCATTCCCACCACCGACCCTTCTATTGCCTGCTTAACAACAAGAAGCAGCTACTAAATCTGTGTAAGTGAAGGTGCTCACCTGCACATCATTTGTGAGTGAGCACAGCTCCCCGAATGAAACCACCTCGGTGTTTACGTCACCTGTGAAACCCACATTCTACCGCAGGGGTGCATGGTCACTGCAGTCAAATGAAATGGATGCACCCTCGAAGGCTGCAGGATGTCTCAGGAATAAGAAGATTCAAAGCTGAACCAGATGACTGCACAAAGCAAAAGATGCGCCCGAGCCCTCCCTGCTGGGTTCTGGCTTCTGCACAGCTGCATCTGATGACCCAAGTGAGGCAAGAGGGTCAGGCCAGGCTGAGCGGCCTCCTGAAGTTCAGCTGCCTTCTCGCTCTCCAGCCCTCGCTCCTCTGGATGCCACAGAGGCCTGGTCATCACCAAACAACAGGCAAAACACCACCAGGCACTTGTCAGTGCTGACTGTTTACAGTGACAGAGCTCCAAGGACAGCGTCCCTGGAAGCCCAGCTCTCAGGACCGTCTTTACCTCTCGTGACTCCCACTAGCTGCTCCTCACTCTGCTTCACCAAGATCCCTGCCTTCCTAGCCTGTCTTTCTCACATTTCTGAACATGGCCTCGCTCGTTGGGATCTCCCCCCTCACTCTTGGGAAAGAGCTCCTGATCATTCGCCTTGCTCCAGCCCCTGACCCACCTCTTCCAAGGACAGCCCCTCACCCACCTGTGCCTCACATTAAAATTAGGGCCCTTCCTTCTCTGCCTTCACAAGATTACACGATGCCTTCACTTGAACCTTTGCTTCTTTGCCTTTGTTTCTTCCTAACTTCTTGACAGAAACAGGAGCCCTCCAAGGGCTGAGCTTTGTAAACCTATAATCAACACGAGACTTAAAATATAGGATGGACTTTATAAATATTAGTTAAATGAAAAAAGTGTTCCACATTATACAATTAGATGGCTCAGCAACCAATTATTTCCCGTGTGTGTTAGATTCTGGCAAAGAATAGGAACTTGGTTAGTATTTGTTGACTTAATGAGTCAGGTTAAGCATAGCGGAAAATTTTGCCTTATTCTGAAGCTGTTTTATTTAAATAAAATAAGCTACCAAAGGATAAATCAAGATTTATTGTTGGGGAAAATAATTTTTCAGTGATTTTTTTCCTGGGAATTAAACCTAAATTCTTATTCACAAAGCCAAGATTACTGAAGGATGAAATCACAGGGGTACAGATCTCTTGAGAAAAATCAGTAGTTAGTGGTAAGGTCTGATAAAAATATACCAAATATCTGAATGCATAATTTATTTCAAATATTTGACTGGTCAGCTATGAAAACTTTATTCAGCAAGTTTTTAAAAATGAAAGAGAACCATGTCCACTTTCCACTCCTCCTAACCTAACCTCCAACTTCACAAGATTGCACAATGCCTTTATTTGGACCTTTACTTCAGGCTGCAGATGGACGGTCAGCCCCAGGGATGTTAAGAAGAAAGTTCTACCCAGTCAAAGGAAACTCTCTGGCAGACTTCTGGGACATCCCTTCCTTTCAGAAGGCTGTCCTTGCTGATTTTCATTAGGTAAGCTGCAGGTCATAGCGTGTCTCGTCCCAAGGTGCTATGACTAGTTTCTAAATCCCGGCAAATAGGAAAGTTTGCTGCCCCATGAGTGCAGCTCTGAGTGCCTTCTTGGGCACTGAAACCAGGGAGGTGTGCTGCTTGGCCACTTGGTACCCCGGCCAAGCGCAGCTCTGCGTGTGCAAGGAAGTCGTGTCAGTGTGAGCAACCCATCCGCAGTCTCAGGCCACTCTGTAGGTGAAGGAAACTAAGCATTCATAGCAAAGACAGAAGAAAGGGGAGAACTTCCCTCCTGCCTCCTGCCTCCCTGTGAAACTTAGGCACAGAGATGGGTGCATGCATTAAAAACATGGATTAAAGCACATTTCAGGTTAAGGCATTTCTGTTTGATACATTGTTTGATGTAGGTTATTTACGATATTCTTCTAAATAGACATAACATTATAAAAACCATAGCTTGGTCTTTATCATTAGCATTCACAAACCTATTACATTCATAATCTGAATGAAAAATTACACATTGGTAATAAAAGAGTATATAAAATATGATCCACCACACTACAAATTAAATAAACATGGAATATTCAGTTTAACTTATTTTTTTTGTCATGAAATACAGATTCCTTTTTAAAAAACAGCAACAGAAACACAAAGCTTTGCAGAACATTGCAAAGGCACTTCTGGATCTGCTAAGGGAAGCTTTTCGAGAGTGCCAAGTCTTTATTATATTCAGTTTTATGGTAAAAATGTTTTTTCTTGATAGAGGCTTATCTTCTCTCTGTTTATCAGCCAGGTTTGGATTGATACTTGGCTCAGTAGTGGAAAATGAGGGGAAAGAAAGAGTAGCCAGCATGAGAAGTAAGTACATATTTCATATATTTCCCATATTTCCCATATTTAGTGAAGAACTAGTGAGAGATGGGACAGCTACCAAGGGCTGAAGTGGGTGAACTTGTAAGGCAAAAACACCAGGAAAGTGAACAGCTTCCCAGCCTTTCCCTAGCTGGTCTTCCAGAGGTCAAGTTAGCTGATGCCTGAGGGGTGTGTATCTCAGACAGAGACAGGGAAGGGGCCAGAGCTGTCTCAACTACAAGGTGCCTGTGGTCCCAGCGGGAGAAACAGATGGCACCAAGCACAGCAAGGAGGAGGAGGAGGAGGAGGAGGAGGAGGAGGAGGAGGCGGAAGAGGAGGAGAAGGAGGAGGCAATGCTAGGTCATGTCTGAGATCATGGCCAGGCTGGGAAATCAGCAGGGATTCTGGGCGCTGAAGCACCAGCAGCCCTACATCCAAGACTCAGTCATCTCCACTGGCCCTTGCTGGAAGCCCCTCTAGGTTCACCTCCCACTTGGTCTCGGCCTGGAGCAGAGTTGTCTTCCTGCTGTAGCTGTCTGGGCTGGTGAAGGCGGGTGTGGCCGACGTGCCCCAGATCACAGGGTCCCGTGGAACACTGTCAGGTGACATTCTCACCTTCAGTGCCCTCGTGGGGGTGAGGACCTCCCAGAGTCACCAAAGCCCTTCGCCCATGTGGCTCCACCATGTACTCTCAGGTCTCCATTTTTTTCTCTTTGAATCAAATACAAGCCTATTAAATGCACTTCTGTTCATACATAAATATTAGCATAGAAACATATTTCAAGCCAAAATAGAACACGTTTGAATCATCAAACCATTTGGGATTATCTGTGGTGTCTCCACTGTCTCGGCATAAATAGAAGAAGATGGATGCATGTGTTATATGTATGTGTCTATTTTAATGTACCTTCTTTCCTGACGCTGGCAAAAAGTCTCAAAATATTGCTTTGGAGTTGTTCTTTTGATTTTATCCCCAGAGCATTTATTCAAGAGAATAAATCTGGCCATTTTCAAGCTGTGAGAATATGAAATGCATAATTTCCCTGCTATAAAATACTTTTCTGGGTGTATTTATATAACTCAAAACAGCTGCTTGCACAAAGTTTACACATAGAGCACAGATGACGGAGGGAGAGAGTCGGGCCTGGCGTGGAGAAGAGTTTGGTATTTTTACCCTGCACACATTTCCATACATTTCCAGTGTGGAAATTGGTCTTGGGGAAGTGGATGTAATGGCTGGGCTCCAGGAAGATTCCTAGGAGGCATCACCGATGGGGATTTGAGGACAGAGTGCTCGACTTTGTGTCCGCAGCTTGAGGCACAACTGGGCTGGGTTTTGGATGCATCTGAAGAGCAGTCCAGGGTTGTTCCTGCCATGTTTCCTGAGCTGTGGGAGTATGGTCCAGTCTGAAATTTCACCAAGCTTAGAACTTGGGTTTGGGGGCACTGGATCAAGTCACTAGCATGGCCCTGGGCACTGCTCTAACATGCATGTATGCTGTCCAGAGGCCCTGGAGTTCAGGGGGCAGCCTTGCTCTGCTGCAGCCTCTGAGGTACAGCCTCCCTCTGTGAGTAGCATGGATGGAGTGTTGGGGAGCAGCTATATTGGGGATTCTGTGCCTACAATGTGTGCCCTCTGCCTTTGAGGAGAGAGTAGTCCAGGAAACACAGGGGAAGTTCTGGCTCTGGCTCCATCAAGATGTAAGGATGTGTACAGTTGCTGGTGGTGAGGTCCATAAAATATATCTCCCAAGCACCTATCTCAGCTTCGTACTTTTCCCTTTCAAGCTACAGGAACGTGTGCTGCAGGCTTAGTGATTTTTCATCTCTGTGACTAGCTAGTGGGAGATCCTCAGGGAAAACACTGAATGCTCTGCAAGCGAGACATGGAACTGTTGACTTTCAGAGATGTGGCCACTGGTTTCTCTTTAGAAGAATGGAAACGCTTGGACACTGCTCAGCAGAAGTTGTATACAGAAGTGATGTTAGAGAACTACAGAAACCTGGTCTTCCTTAGTCTACGTGTCTCTAAACCAAACCTGATCACCTTCCTGGGGTGAAGCAAAGAACTTTGGATTGTGAAGAGTGAAGGGACAGCAGTCATTCGTGCAGGTGTATCTTCCTATCATAATCAAGGATTTTCATCTGAGCCAGAGGTACATTACTCCTTCTATAGACAAATCAGAGATAGAAAACTTGTGGCCATAGCGTTTTACAACTTATAAAAGAATTAGAAATCATCGATAAGTATGAAAGGGAAAAATCATTTTATAATGGACTTAACCATTGGTGGACAGCTAAAAATAGGAGAAACTTCACTGTCAACAGTGAAGAAAAGCATATAACATCTAAGGAAATATCTGAATTTATGTCACTTTCTTTGAATGATCCATGTGATTTGATAAGTAAACATTCACATCAAATTATGAAACATAACTTTTCTTACAAAGAAAATTTAAGAAAGCTAAAAATGTATCCAGCTTGTGATTCAGTTAATTACTTGGAAAAATTCAAATTCTTTGACACTGGATTAAATTTTCATTCAAATATTTCTGTAGACAAGAGATGTAAAATAGACAAGCAAGCTTCTAGATGTAATCATTTAGAGATTTCCTTTAAGAAAAACACATTATTCTGGAATCACCAAATTGGTCTTTCTTCTGCCATAATAAACCATTTTGACAAATATGGAGCACTATTTACCCAACTATTAGTGCTTAATCAAAATCCAGCTATAGATATTTGGAAAACTCATGACATATATAATGAATAAGGGAAGGTCTGTAGTGAGGACTCTACTCAACAAAACCACCAGGACATTTACGTTGGACAGAAAATTCATCAATGTAATAATAGGAAAACTTTGCATTTGGCTCAAATCCTAGTTAACATCAGTGCATTCATTTCCTACAGAATATTTACAAATGTGAGAAATGGGACAAAACTTACTCAGTGCTCAAAACTTACTGCCCATCAAGGTATCCATATTCAACACCAGATAAGTGATACTGCAGAGAAACATTATAGGTATAAAGGGATGTGACAAAGTCTTTACCAAAACTTCAGCCCTTACTCAACACCAGAAAAGTCAAACTGAAGAGAAAACCTACAAATGTAAAGTCTGTGGCAGAGCCTTTAAATTTTGCTCAACTCTTACTCAACACCACTTCACTCACATTGGAGAGAAACACTACAAATATAAAGAGTGTAACAACGCCTTCCATCAAAGCTCTAAGCTTACCAGACATCAGAGAATTCATACTGCAGAGAACCCTATGAATGTAAAGATTGTGGCAACGCCTTTAAATATCGCTCAGCTAACTCTTACTGAACACCAGAGAATTCATGCTAGAGAGAAACCCTGCAAATGTAAAGAATGTAGGAAAGCCTTACACCAAAGCTCAAATCTTACTAGACACCAGAGAATTCATACTGGAGAGGAGCCCTACAAATGGAAAGAATGCAGCAAAGCATTTTCTGGAAGTTCAAATCTTACTTTCCATGAGAGAAGACACACCGCAGAGAGACCTCACCAGTGTAAAGAAAGTGTCAAATCCTTTCATCAGATCTCAGCCTTTACTCAACACCAAAGAGTTTGTACTGGAGAGCAACCCTACAAATGTAAACACTGTGGCAAAGCCTTTGATAATAGTTCAACACTTACTGAACTCCAGATAATTCACACTAGAATGAAACCATGCAGTTCAAAGAGTGTGACAAAGCCTTTTATTGAAGCTCATATCTTACCTAAACATGAGAATATATATTGGAGAGAAATCCTACAGCTGTAGAGAATGTGGCAAAGAATATGATCAAAGCTTAACTCTACTGAACCCTAAAAAATTTATACAGAAGCCCTCAAAATGTGATAGAGCCTTTACCTGTATTCAAATCTTTTACCACATCACCACATTCATGTAAGATAAAAATGTCAACAAGATAAAGTTTTTAGAAAAACCTGTAGCTGTTCTTCACATCTTATTAAACATTTAAAAATGTACACAAAAAAGAAAATCCACAAATGTAAAGATTGGTTCAGATTGTTTAATCAAACCTTAAAATTTTTTATACATTAAATAGCCTCAATTTTGAAAACTAGGTAATAAAAAATTCAAACTGATCTTTGTACCAAAAACCAAAACTTCTTTCTGATAGTTCATGTGTGTGTTTTGCAGAGAACGTGCAGTAAACTTTGAATTATTTTCTTTAAACTTTCAATTTTTTTAGTGAGTAGAAGAAAGGTTCAAATGTATAAAAAAAAATAATACATCTCCCACTTGACACCTACTTCCCAAAAGATTTCTTGTTCATACCTTCTTTAAACAAACAAATTTGTTTTTGTTTGCTTTTTGAGGCAGGATCTTGGTGTGTAGTCCAGGCTGGCCTTGAACTCATGGTGATCCACCTGCCTCAGCCTCCCGAGTACAGGGATTATAGGTGTGCACCACTATGTTCTGCTTAAACAGCTATAGTGTGTGCCCAGATTTGCCGTGGATTGTAGGTTTCTTTAAGGTAGACTGGGTCTCAGTTTTATATTCTATAAGTATTTATCAATAAATCCCCTGTCTTAAGCAGTTACGGGTGCAGCCACTTAGGGTCTTCCATTTTCCTCCTGGCCTTTTAGTGAACAGGGTGGAAAACATGACATTCATCTATGAAAGCCACCTTTTTCCATTAAAAATCTGATAGCATGAGATAAACACTTTTAAGGGGCTTTCATATTATACATTTAAAAAATATTTCTACAATATGACTAAGAAAAACTTAACAATATATTTATGAAGTTCTTTATGACCATACTAATATTGTAGATTTATTGATACTGTGTATCTGAAATGTAGCAAAATAATTGTGTATTTTTAACCTTAAAAATCACAAATACAAATGAGGAAATATTTTAAATTGCTCCTACAACTCAAGCATGCCAAGTTCTCTTAAACATCGCAAACATATGAAATAAAAATGGATGGTCTGAGAACGTCATTTCTTAACTTTTTCTTTTCTTCTTGTTTTGGGGGATTCTGGGGATAGAATGCAGGGCAGCATGCAGGGAACGCTAATGTAAAATTATTAATAATATGAATTGGATTGATTTCATAATTTTAAAGTTAATTCCCATTTTACCAGGGTGGAAGACATTTTACTCCCTAATTAAATGGTGTTTCCTTACCCAAACTTGTGTCATTCATTAAAAGGCCACTGCTGTGCCCCCTGAAGGCAGGCGCAGGCTGGAGTGGTGACTCCAAAGCTGGCACTCGGAAGCCAATGCACAGGGGACTTTTCTCAAGCTGGAAGGAGGGTGAGCAACGCAGCTCCCCGGGGCATCAGATGTCGTGGACGTCAGCCCTGGTCGTGGCACTGGGGTTGATGTGAGCAGTGTGGGGGAGAGTAGTGCTGTTTATGGGACAAAAGGATGGGGAATGAAATCAAGTGGGAAACAGAAAGCGTAGAACTTCACTTAAGACTCCCCGGGCCTACGGGGGAGGCACTGTGCTCTGAAATGGCTTTGCTAGAAGGCTGAATGGAAGTCTCCAGGCAGCGGCCTGGGCCAGGAGAACTGATGCCGTTAGATCTAGGGAACGTGGAAAGAGGAGTAAGAAGGGCAGATCGGTCACAGATGGAGCCAGGAGCGGCCGAATGCGTGGATCTCAGGGAAGAGAGAAGGATGTAGAAAGCAGACAGAAGGACAGATGTCAACAACCGCGAGAGACCAGTAAGAGCTGAGGGAAGGGCGCGCTTCAAGGAGAAGGATGTGAGAACAGAAAGGAGAGAAGAAAAGAAATCCTGGACACGAAGGCCACACGGAGACAGGTGGAATAAATGGAAATAGGATCCGTGGGTGGGCTTCAGGGAGCTGTGTGATGTGACAGAGAAATACCCACCGGGATATGGACGTTATTTCAGAGAAAGCAATCCATAGGGGTAGCAGAGATGGAAGACAGAGCAGAAAAGATAGTCATAAATGGAATGAGAGAAAAGAAAGGGCTGCTGACGGAAATGATGCAAATATTTCCCGAAATAAAGAACTACTTAGCTGGCGCGTGGTGGCGCATGCCTGGAATCCCAGCACTTGGGAGGCTGAGGCAGGAGGATTTCTGCAAGTTCTAGATCAGCCTGGGCTACATAGTGAGTTCCAGGTCAGTCTCTACGTCACAGTGAGACCCTGCCTAAAAAAATAAACAAAACAAAACAAAACAAAAAGAACCACTTAAGCCTGCAGATGTCAGAGCCAAATTAATACAGATCTGACAGTGGGTTTCATGTTAAACAAATAACTGGAAGTCAGCATGTGGAAGACCCTGACAGGCATATCCCGAGGGTTAATTAGCACGTGCAGGGCATAAAGTAGAACAAGCTGGATGCAAATGTGTCCACAGACCCCTCCCTTCCTCTCCTTTGCTGCCATCATTGCCACCATGGTCATTGAACTGCTCTCCACACTATCCCTGCCGGTCTTGCCAGTGACCACGTCCTTGGCCTTTTCTCTCCTCTTCTCTCCTTGGGCGGTCTGGCCTACACTCACTATCCCAACTGCCCTGTCTACTGAGGACTCCCAAAGTTGCAGCTCTACTTGGATGTCACAGGAACCTCAAGTCCAGGTTCCAATGTATCTTCCTCCTCTCCTCCCCTCAATGAGTCTGGAAAGCCTGGTCCTTTGCTGGCACTGCTGATCCCTGTGCTCCCAGGAACACAGGTTCCATCCTGAGGAGTTACCCTGGACCTCTATTCCCACCACACAAAGGCTGCCTCTGCACCTGCCCTCGTGCTGACTTCCTCCCACAATGGCCAGAATGACCTTTATCAGTGTAGGCCAGATTATGAAATTCCCCTTGCAAACAATCTCTCTATAGCTGAGACTTTCACACTGAATGATGGTCTGTGACCCCACTCTTCCTCCAGCCTCATTTCCAGCCATCTCCCTGCTCACTCCTGGTGCCAGGGTGGGATCTGTCCTAAACTGCACAAGAGGCTCTCGCTCGGACAGCTGGTTGGTCGTCCACTTGGGATGCTGCTTCCATGCTGCCCATAGCCACCTTTCCACACTTGACTTAGGCGTCTGCTCAGGGAGACCTTCCTGAGCTCCCTCAC